GGGGGTCGCTGCCGGGCCCCGCGCCCCGCCGCGCTCGCTGCGGCGGCGTTTGTGCTCCGACGCGTTTCCTGGTGAGTCTCACACGGCCCTGCGGTTCTAACTGCGGGAGGTGCGTTTTTGACTCCAGCGGAGTGAAAGCAGTTTGTGCCACACCGAGTGGTAAAGGTAGGCATGAAGTCACTTGTGGTTAGTGCCTCTCGAGTTCTCTCAACGCCCATCCTAAGATGCAGAGGCAGCAAGTTTGTCCCTCCCGAATTCATATTTCTTAGGGGCAGAATGTCATCCAGCCCTCCCTTGGCTGGGCACACACATGGCAATGACAGCAACGGGAGCACAGGTGAACACTGGAGACACCTCTCACTGTGTGACAGTACGAGGGGAATATAATCAACAATAATTTGAACAAAGTCTTGGAAGCTCTCAGGATACCTCAAAAAATGTGCAGATATGGCACTTGAGGACATGGTTTCGTAGCAAACATGGTCCTGGTGGGGGGTTGATGGTTGGACTTGGTGATTTTGAAGGTTTTTTCCAGCATCATGACTCTGTGACTGTGGTGCTGGGTACAGGGCCACATGTGGCAGAGGGTGGGTGTCCACACCCAGCATCAAACCACATTCCCACCCCCCACACCAACACCTCTCCCTCCAGAGTAACCCCAAAGTGGACCCAACCACTCTGCACGTTCCAGCCCCTGACACTGACCACCTTCCCAAGGATCAGACTCTGACCCAATGGGAAAGGCTTTTTATTTCTTTCTAAACAGAACAGAAAATATTTTTAGGTAAAAGGTAAAAAAGATGAGTATACCTTCTCAGGGAAACACATCAGAAACAAGTAAGTACATAAATATTCTGGATAATGCTAGGATAGTGCGGTAAAACAGAAAAAATAATGATAAGCAGCACCACTACCAAATTAATCCACTTTATTATAAAGATTGTAGTGCTCCTGTTGCAACTGAAATGTATAAAAATATTTGTTGCTTTATTTTAAAAGGAGTAGAATGAATAATTTAATTCTTGCTGTAAGTATGCAGTGTGGCCCAGCATTAAGGCAGGAGCTCCTAAACTTGGCTGGTCTATTCGGACCATCTCCCAGACCTTCAGTCTCTCCATCCCTGTCCCCATCCCAGCCCTGCTGCAGCACACCTCACCCACTGCTGCTTGCTCAAAACATTGTATTTTAAACACTACTCAACGTAATTTGGAGTTGGAAAGGGAAAAAAGAACCATCCAGTCCTCTAACAGACTTTAAGCAAATGATTTCCAGGTCTTGCAGGCTTGAGAAGCTCTCATCTGTTTAGAATTAGAAACTGTGATGGCTCATGAAAACTTAGAAAATATTGGAATGCTGTGTATCCCACTGGAAAAAAAAAAAAGGATAACACCAATAGTTTATTTCTCCTAAAGGGTGGCAGATCAGTAGACGTTATGGAGCCACCTCTTTTGCAAGTATGATTTTATTCCTTTTCCAAATCAGCCAGGATTTTGTGCTTTACATTGTCCTGGCTGATGCATTTCATAAATCAGGAGACAAAAAATGCTAAAATGGGCCATTTAACCCCTTAGAGCAAATAAACATATTTCTGCTGATGTTCTGAAAACTTCAATAGCTTTTAACTAGGATGGGATTTTCATATGAGTATTATCAACACAGCTAAAAAGAAATCTTATCACTCACAAATAGCATTAAGACACACGTCAGAGGGTTTAGAGCCACACGCTGTGTGCACCAGTACAAGATATACAAGGGTACAAGATAGAGGACCTCAACTCCCTCCAGCTTTCTGCAAGAAAAGGGTTTATTTTTCTGCAGGAGTTGAACATCAGCCAATTTTATTTTCTTCCTTATTTAGTTTTTTTTCACAGTGCTGGCAAGGATGGATGGATGAAAGAAGGAATTATTTCAAGGGCCAATGGTTTAACATATTTCACCTCCAGTTCTAACAACCCAAAGACAAGGAGCAGAGAGACCTCGCTGGGAGCAAGAGATCTCTGCCTAAGCCCCTTCTGACACAGAGTTTATGCAATTTGGCACTAAAATGCTCAAAGCTGGAATTTATCCTGCAGATGTAACCACAGCCACGGGCCTCTGGATGGACACAAACCCCCCACCAGGCTGCAAGTCCAAGCACCTCTGTCAGCATGTGATGGACAGGGGAGAGAAGATACAGCCAGGACACCACACTGAGATCTCGTTTGACAGGACTGATGTAAATCAAAGTGCACGGAAAGTTTTGGAACAAATGACAGGGAAAGCTGGATGCTGTTCCATGGGGGTGGGTGTTTGAGGCACTCTGTGGGGCTGGGGGTGAGTGGGAAAGGGAGCAGTGCTGGTGTGCAAGCCTCCCCTCAGCCTCCTGCTGCCGAGACAACTGGATTAAATTAGAGCAGAATGAGGACTGGGGATTACAGAGAAACAGAGGCATCAACAGTTTTCATTTCTCCCCCACAATTATTTATAATGATATGGGAAAATGAAGAGCAGAATGGATCCAGCAAACGAGGAATAAGAGACAAACCACAGGATCCAGCACCAGCCATACTTTCCATGGCATTTCAGCCTGTTGCGCCACATCACAAAGAAGTATCTGCAATTCTTGGATGTCTAGCATCTCTCATTTGATCCTATTCAGGTAACTCTTGAGTACATGACAAGACAGTTATCAAGGCTCTCATGTTTAGATTATAGCAGCCTTTTTTGCCTTCCCACACAAATAAGTACACTCTCTTTTGCCAAAGCCAAATGAACAAACGAGACACTGTCGTGACATCCCAGGAATAAAATGTTACAGTAAATCACCCTTGCATGGAAAGCAGTTCTACAGTCAAGCAAAGCAAACTGCAAATGTCAGCTTGTTCACTGGTAATCCTGCTGTAAAGTAACCCAAAGAGCAGTATTAGTGTTTGCTAACTTGCTCTGACAGTGGCTTTGCTAAAGAATCAATGGACAAAATAGACAGATGAGAAGTGTTCCACATTAAAGACAGCAAAGATAAAAAGACTAGTTTAAACCTCCAAAATAAGGCAGCCAGTGCTGTCCTCCATCCTCTTGAGACTACCAGTCAGTCTACAGAAGCCCTCCAAGAAATGTAGCATTTTTCACTCTTCACAAGCTTCTGATTCCAGACATCCCTACTGCTGAAGTGGTACTGCCAATGAGAACACCTTTTAAAACAGCAATGTCCAACCCCTGGCTTTTCTGATTCACTATGAAATTAAAGAATTCAGCTTTTAATATGATGTGGAGCAAGGAGTCTTCCCCAACTGTCAAACCTAATATGTGCTACAAAAGGTTTTAGCTAACAATACAGATTAAAAAAAAAAAAAGCAAGTTTGCGCTCCCAGTGCCAGCAGATGGATGAGTGACCCTCTTGAGACAGGGACTAAATTACAGATGGTCATGGGGAGGTCAGGGACACAACAGTGCCTCGGCACTCAGCTGCCACTGCCGGGCCACACCTCTGACTCTGCCGCTCCATAAACTCTGCCCTTGCACCCAGCCGTGCCTCCTTCCCGCTGAGCTAAACTGTGCCTCCCTTAAAATTACCCTTCCTCTCCTCCCAGGGCTTCCTCTGTAATTTTCTGCTCAAAGTCAAAAGAAATAACAAAGCCAGGGCTGCTCTCCAGCCTCCCCCATTCATTGCTGTCCCCTCCATGACAGCTCTGTCTCCAGCCTTGCTCTCCCAGCAAAGCCAGGGATCTTCCCAGCTGACTTCTCCTCTCAGCTTGAAGGACTTCCCCAGAGTGGAGGCATCTGCAGGCAGGAACTTACATTTGGGTTTTCATGACTTTCCTCTGACGTCTGCCAGGGACTTTCAGGTTTACACAAAAAATAACCACTACCAGGGCCAGCAAAAAAAAAGCTTTCAGCCAACTGAAAGAAATAATAATAGGTTAATTCTTTCATTTCCAGTCCTGAGGCAATATTCTCTCTCTTTCTCATGTTTTACTGGTCTTTTTAAACTGAGTTCTAGGGAAATGGGTGGAAGATGTGGAAATCCTATTGCAAAAGCACCTGCCCGCTCTTTTCCCCGGAGAGCCACACAGAGAACATTCTATTATTTAGTTAATTGCAAAGAAACAATTACAAAGGAACTTGGCAAACTCTCTCTAATCACAGCAAGACCCACTGCAGTCCAGTAAGTTCAGCAAATTAGCAAATAAGTGAATACAAAAAGGAAAGAATAACACAGCTCAAATTGCACTTTGTTCGTTTGTTTTGTCACTCTTCGTTTCTATTTAATTATTTAAGGTATTTCTTCATAACATTCTGGTACATTTTGTATAATAATGAAGGTTTACTAGCATGGAAATGCAATACGTGGCTATTAAATATCTGCCGAGAGAGGGAAGGAAACTGCCAATTCTCTGAGTAGATTATAGAGAGCCTGTTCAGGAAAAATTCCCAGGTTAGACAAATAGAAGGTTCTGCCACAATTTGTGTAAGTTCCAAATAAGGATTATTGCTCAAATAATGGCAATGCAAAGCAATGTTTGTGCAGAACATTTGTAACTTGTACTACAGGCACTCATGGTCAATCCCATTTATTAAAAGCTCTTCTAATTTTCCATGCATGTACCTAGAGGCCATTCAAGCACAGCCTTTTTTTACAGCAGCACTGTAACCAAGATTTTACAGTATTCCATCCCTAAAGTCAGAGTACAGCACAGACTTTCCAGCTGTGTTACACTGCTGAGGTAGAGGCTCAGCTCTGCAGAGCTGATGGGCTGAGGAGGGGACAGGAACGACATCCAGGTGTGGGATTGTCTGACAATGGGCATGATGTCCCTATTGTCCCTCCTGCTTCTTCCCAGACCATTTTGAGCTTCAAGATTTTATGACAGCTCAGTTCACACTACCAGCAATAGAAGCCCTGCAGGGGCTCATGTGGTAGGCAGTGCAATGTGTCTGTGAGGGAGGGGAGCTGGGACAGCCTGAGCCACACCTTGAGCTGGGACATTGGCTCACAGACAGCTCTGGTGAGAGGAACAACACAAACACTGTCCTGGAGAGCAGGGGGAGTCCAGATGCTCAGGTTTGAAAAGGGTAATTGGGAGGGCCAGGCAGGGTGTGGCAAGGGGAGCAGGGTGCAACTCCATCAGTGAACTGGACCAGAGTGAATTCCTAGAACAGCAACCCTCCTGCTCAAGGCTCTTCCCTGAGCCCAGCAGGAGTGGTTACTGAACGCTTCCACCTCCAGGTGGTTGCTGAACACCACGTTAACCAAGGTGCCAAACACAACCAAAACCAGGGCAGGCACTGGAAGGGATGCCAGGGCTGCACCAGCACAGCAGCACTTCAGCAAACAGAAGGAAACATCAGGGGAACTGATGCAGCACCTGACCACCAACCATGCCTGAAAATCCTTCCCTACAAACCTGGAGTCTAACATGGAAATTGTGCTCTTTGCAGGTCTTAATGATGCCCATTGAATGAAACTTTTTTCTCTCCTTAAAAAGTTTCTATGAGGAAAGCAATTCATTAGCTGACAAACCTACCACAGAGAGATGCTGCAAAGCTTGCAAGAGTCAAGGGCATTCCAACTTCAGCTGCAGACAAATTATGGCTTAATATAACTAAGTGTGAATGCTTAATTGCTTTCTGAATTCAAGACCAGTCTGCTCCAAGAAATAATACCAAATTTTTCCATTCATGCCTCATGGATTACCTCTGGTGTTTAAGATTTAAAATTGAAGTTTCCCATAAGAAATCCACAGAATATGCCAGTAGAGCTGAGAGGAAAGAATAAAAAATGTGAAATTTAATTAATAAAATCATCCAACAAAGATTGTCTCATCTTGTACTCTCATAGCTGTTGTAGTCTTACACCAAGGACTCTGCTTGACAGGAGGATGACTGCAGGATTCCCATGTTTTCACAGCAGGGTCTTCTATTTCCATAAAGCAGCAGAAGGCTTCTTTAGGGAGTCCTTAAAGGCTTTTTCAGTGGACCTGGAAAGGAATGCACACATCCTAGCTCCTTCCAGAGCTTCACAAACAGCAACAATAACTCAGGTGAGAAGATACACTGTCAGTAAACTGTAAACTCTCTAGTCTCCTGCTCTCCCTCAGCTGCTGCCAGACCAGTCTTTTAAAACAAAAATCCATCAGCTCTTTCAGTTCCACCAGGTTTTGCTCAGGAACACTGCTCATTCCTGATGGGAAAACCTTGAACCTGCACTAGAAGAGAAGAAATTTCACACCTTACATGTTTCAGTTATCTTGTTACTGTCCACTCAGGAAATCAGGGATAAAAGGTCAACCCAGGTGCAAAGAGAAAACAGGAGAGTGCAGCAGAGGCCAGAGAGGCAAAGAAAATACAGCAGTAGCAGAAGAAACACATCAACATTCTGTTATAAACTTTATTTCAAAATTCAACAGTTCAAAGAAAATTCATTGCAATTGTTTTTGCTTTTCAAAGATCCCAAAATAAATTATATAAAATACTTGCACAGTTCTAAATATTAAAAAGATCATAAAAATTAATGGTGCTCTCATATGCCAAGATTAATCCTTTTCCATTTTGACTACATTAGAAGTTGCCTGTGCAGGGATTATTTTTAGAGCTATGCAGGAAACAATGCAGTTTTCAGGTCTTGATGCCTCAGTAAAGATTTACAGGCAAAGGCACTTAAGGGCAAAAAGAGATCCAGAGAGATAACATCCCATTAAAGTCAGATCTCCACACTCACACACAATCTCTAACTAACACTGCTGCAAACTGCAGATGGTTTTAAGTCAGAAACATTATTCCTTATCGACAGAATGGAAAGTGTGCTTTTAGATTACACTGCATACAGGGGAGTTTAGTTTTCATTCAAGACCTTGACACCCCCACAAGATTTCCAGGGCTTTCTACAGAGGCATTTTTCAGAAACTGTGTTTGTACTGGGCCTGTCTTGGCAGATTTGAGCCTCACTGATTTTTAGTGTCCTCAGCTCCCTGTTGGGGAAACATGCCATTTATTCAAAAATTAACTTTTTCTTCTTTCTTTCTGCCACACTTCTTCCCACATCTATGGGTGCTGGCATTCAGATAGATAACCACAGAACCAATCCTAGGGTCAATCACTACTCCCTCCAACACATTCCATCACAGTGCACAACAGAACAACTCCCAAGGCTAATACTGTGCATTCCCTTCCTCCTGTACCACACCGAGCTTCTGATGTGGAGTGAACACATAATTACCTTTCAAGGTAAGGTATCACTTTGAAGGCCATCTCAATGTTAGTATCAGATCTTTGATAGCTGGGAGATAGCATCCCCAAATTTAGAAACTTTTAGACACATTTTGGTTCACCCTAGTAAACACTTGTTCCTTTTCACCCTGGCTTCTACCTGTGTCTGGGTCATCCCAAGGTTCTATTTTCCATGAATCCCAGAATTTGCCTATGGATAGTGCTGCTGCTGGCCACATGCTCAGCTCAAACACAAGCCCTTCTGCTCTGTATCAACTTCCTAATACTGTCACATTGCTCATTACAGCACAGTAAAGTAAAAGAATCTTCTCCTTATTGCATTTGCTGCCCCAGTATCTCCCTGTAGGATGACAGCAGGCAGGTATTTGGTGTCAGCCTTGGTCCTGGCACATTACACACTCTCCCTTTAATGTGTCAGGCCTCATCTCTGGTTACTCTCTGGAGAGATCCATGACAGAGTCACAGTTACAGACCTGAAATATTATACACAGCAACTCAGTACAGCACTGCTTCCATTTAGCAGAATGACCCTTCTTCTTAATGTGACTTCCAGGAAAAGAAACATACCCCAGCTTCTACCAGAAGGATTCTATCCCTTTTCTTTTATGTATATTTTTTTATCCTTTCTGCAGATGACAGTCATGTGACCAAAGCACCAGCAGGAAAAATTTACCCAGTGGGAGTGCAAATGACATTCTTCAGACTGCTTTGGGTATGGAGAGCTCCCAAAACTGCCTTTGGAAATAGCACAGGCAGCATTTCCACCGATGGGATGAAATGAAATCAGCTGCATTGTGCTGCAGCCATCCAGTTTCCTCTTTGGCTCTAAGTACTGGCACAAACTATGATAAGCCTCAGATAGTCTTCATTGAAATCACACAACTGAGACAGCCCTGACTTATTGGTATTCTGAGAAACAGTGGTGACTGCTTTTTAATTTAGAAAAGGTGATAAAAATCTTATATTTAAGAGTGTGCTTTCTGTTTACAGGAGACTTTATTACTCTTTGATGACAAAGAAACCATAAGTGTTTCCAGAAAACCTTCACCACGTGCTTGTAAAATTCATTTCCCCTTCCAATAAGTATCATGATTTATCTAGCTCACCTTAAAAAAACCCACACACATTTCAATGTCTTTGAAGGATGTTGGTGCAACAGTAGGAACTATCCAGTCCAAAAGTACAGTCTGCAGAGATCTGGAAAGACCCTCTCTGATGAAATCCTCACCAGCCCATCAGGCCTTTGCCCTTTCCATGGATAATTACACTGTGAGTGCTTTTTCTGGATGCAGTCCTAATTTCTGTTATAATCCAATCTACCACTTCTGCTCCCAAACCAAACTGCCTTGATTAGATATGAGCAATGTAGTCAGGTGAGCATTCCAGACAGTTCTATTTCCTATGTCAAATATTTTTACACATTAAGAGTTGACCCTGCAAAACACACATAATTTGTGACTTTTTAAGCAGAGAAAGCACTCACAGGGGTATCCCTTCACAGCACATTTCTGGTATGACACACCTGTCCTGAGAAATCCCAAAAGCTGGTTATGTCATCAGACATTTCAACACAAAGCAGTGCTACACATGTCACCATACACACACAGGAAAAGGTCAATAAATAACCCAGCTGATACAGTGGGCCTAGAATAGTCCTATGGCAAAGAAATGGCTTTCTAAGAACCTTTACAAGGTCTGCACAGACTGTAAATATTCAATATAAAAATAAAGACATTAAAATATGATACAGTAAAAATTTTCAATAGTAAAGCACAGATAACAAATACCAGTTGTACCCCTTTGCATACATGGGATAAAAACTGGAGTTATGTCATTTACCACTTTCTGATTAAACAAATTATTTTAGTTGACCTGAAACAAAACTTTGTTTGGCATGAAATATCTTAATGCTTTATTGCTATAATTTAAATTTGGCAACTGAATTTATAATCCTCATTAAAAATATTAAAGTGTTTTGGTTGAGTTTATAAATCCAAACTCTTTGTGTAGCAGGAGGATAAGGTTAACAGTCAGTCAGTGGCTTTTAGCCATAAAGTCTGCAGAGACAACATAGCAAAGAATTACTCATTAGTGTCTGAAATAATGTGAACTCTCATTAAAAAGGGGCTGATATTCCCCCCTTTTTCCATCTTTGATATGCTTGATCTTGGTACAAATAGTTTTGTTGGTGAACCAAATAATTCAAGGCCACCAGAGCCTGTTAGCAAACCTTAGAAGTGGGTGTAGCTTTTCTTCACCTGCAGCAAGGGAGGGACAACCACGTCATCGGAGTCGTCGGAGTGAGCCTCATCCAGGGCCACAGAGGGAGCAGAGCAGGACCTGCCTGAAAGGATTCCAGCAAACAAGGTCATCAACAAACAGCACTGACCAAAACAAAGCCTTGGGGCAAGTGTGCTATTCTCTGAGCCAGGAAGTTCCCAAGCTTACCTGGAGTCATCCAGTTGTGGATGACTTTGATCTTTCTGTGCATGGAGCTATTTCTGTTCCTCTTTAATGAGCCACAGTGCACAGCAAGGGGTGAGCTGACACACTGACCATGCATGAGCTCTCTCATTGCCTTTAAATCTTTGCAAGGGGTTACACACACCAAGTAAAGCCATTTTATACTGAAGCCATAGCAGGTCAAAACCAAATATTCATTAAATGGCCAGAAAAGGAAAAGTTGACCCAAGCTTAAACTACACAGAGAGGTCACAATGAGAACTTGACTCAGATACAGATAGAACAAAGGGAAATAGATGTAAACAAGGCAGAAGCTCTCAGTCACTGTCTTTAACCTTTATATATGTAAAACACCCAAAATATTGTTCACATGCTGGTCTACTGTAATGACAATAAAAACAGTGAACACACCGTTGGGTTTTTCCCTTTATTGTGCTTCTTTGCTATTTTCCTGGATGTGTATCTATGCATCTCAACCATTCCAATGTTTGAAGAAGTGTTCAGGTTGTGAACAGATATTCCTGATGACTCCAGTAAACACTGTGCATATTCATTTTATGCCTCTGATTCTCCAAAGTCCCTGACACAGGAAGAGCAGAACCAGCAGCTAATAATCCCTGTGCAAGACATGTAGGAACTTAGTGATGACTGCTATTAATACCTTCCAGCACAATATCCTCCCCTCAGCTATTAATACCTTCTAGCACAATATTCTTCCCTCAGCTCTACTTATTTTTCAGTTTCAAACATAAATTCTCTGAAAAGACTCTCCCAGAGAAGAAAACAAATCAAGACAACCTGTGGCAGAAAGAGGAAATGGGCAAGAAGCCACAGTCTGAGGTTTTGACCTGAACTGGAGGGCACACAGAGAATATTATCCAGGGAGAACAGACCTGCCACAGGTCTTGTAGTGAAATAAGAGATTTCTGACACAGGAAAAAAAAATCTTGGTATGGAAGAGCAGGCATACACAGAAAGTGGAACATGGAATAAAGAAAAGGGACCACAACTGGCCCAGGAATAGGAAAAGGGTGACAGAGCCTGTGAATGGCAAGGGGAATGCAGGGAGGCCATTACAATACACTGACCTCAGCCTGAAAAGCAAGGAAACACATGATTTTCTGGTTAAGTCAAAACCTTCTCTTTACCAGCCAACAAATAATGTTAAGAGTTTTTCAGGGAGATTTACAAGACAGTAGCACTGGTGATATGGAGGAGCAAAGGGAACTGCCAAAACCAAGCATGTTAACCAGAAGAAGCAACTCTAAGAATAAAAATATTATACATGAAATGGCTTAATATTATCCAAATCACCCTTGATTATATCCTGCTTCTGACCTATGAGATTTTCTTGTCCTCATTTTCAGTCTGATGTCAACTTTACCTTGGTGCTTGTGAAGGCTAAGCACTGATATGACTTAAGGGTTGTATGTAAATTCATTATGATTCCAAAAAAGCCTGAGATGAAGTTAACAGTTGCAGCCAGAGTGGTCAGTAATATGCAAAGAGAAACACTGCCCTTAATCAAGATTGCTGTGCATGTACAGAACACATTCTTCCTTCCTGTCACTCCCCTGACAGAATAAAACAAAACACAACACCAAGTTTCACAGGCTGAATTGTGAATTTCTCTTTCATTTCATGGGAAATAGCAGAAATGGCTTTCTAAAACCTCCAGGTCCTGAAGACAAGCAAAGCAGCACTGAATAATACACTTTAAAAAAATTATTTTCCTAGAAAATACAGAGATATCTAACCTGATGCAAACAATGAATTGTAAATCTGCAATGCTACACCAGGATTATATACATTAATTCCAGCAGATGTAGAAGGTTTTTTAAAACACATTTTCATCTTCCCCATTGTTCTTCAAATAATGCCAAAGGGGTAGTGAATTGAAATGATTTATTGCAGTACAGATATTGACTGAAAGCTTAAGATCATTTTAAGACCTAGAGGTCATGAAATGCAAGTCTGGACTTGGGACAAATGAAGAAAGAACTTGTTCAACAGCTGCATGATTTAAAGCTGTAAGAATTTGACTGCTTTAAATCACTCAGCTGCTCAAGCTCCTTGTCTCCCATCCTTTCCAGGCTGCAGGATGACCACAGAAATCCCAGTTTACCATCAAACCCCAATTTTGCCAGTGGATTTTTCTATCAGCCATGAGCTCAGAATGGTAGGGGTGGAATTTTAGCTACATAAATCCACATGGCAAAAAACCAAACAGATCCTTGAGGGGTTGCATTTACACCAGGATGCTCTCCTTCCTTTAGGAGGCTTTTCCTAATTAATTTTTGGGAGTGGTTAAACACTCCCATGTACCAGGATCTAATACTTCAGAGCTCAGTGCCAGACAGCCTTTTGGGCAGCTGTGCAGTTACAGAAGCACATCCCCAGTGTGCCTCTCCACAAACCACCTGCATACATTCTGTCCTCATCCCAGACTTTGAAAACATATCCCACATTGATAAAATCAGCAGCAAACAAAACCTGGTCTGCTCCAAATCACTCCTTTTTGATATTCACCAGGAAACGACTGCAAGGAAGAAAGTTTCCAAGTATGGTTTCCTCTGTCTCTCTTCCAGTATAAACTATCCCAGAACTTCTTCACTCATCAACTTGTCATCATAATCTGCAATAAAATTTAGCTTAGGAGACTTCATAGCTAGACAATGACTGTGCCCTGCTGGTGCTCATATGACTGGGTTTGCCTCATCTTACACTCCTCTGTGGGTCTTAGAAGAACTAAGCATTTAAGGGATTCTTTCTCTTTGAGCAGAATTTCACAACTGATTTACCCTGGCTTTAGAGTGAGCATGCCAATAATGACTACTGCAGCAGAGCTCAGGCAAATCAAGGTGCTACAGCACTATTTTTTTCCTGGATACTATCACCAGACATAATTAAAGTCACTCAAAACTCCAACATCTTCAGAAGCAAGTACTACCTACTCCTTCACAAAGCAGAATGTGCCTCTGAATATGGAACACAGTGGAGTTTCTCAAACACATTTTCTTCCACTGAAGTGTTACCTCTGTTTTCACAAGCCCTGCAAATCTGGCTTGTTCCCCACCTCCTATCTTAGAGAAACAGCCTCACTGCTTACAGCATTCTCTGTCTCTGAGCAAGCCTGCAGGGACTGAGAGCTTTTCATTGACAAAAAAAAACTACTCAGTGTTTCTCAGGTCACACTCAAAGTTGTTCCTTTTTTCCCCAACTGGTCCATAAAAGCCTAAAATGTCCCACTCTGGACAGAACCAGCCCTTTTCAATTTAACTCATTTGAAGCTGCATGTCTAAGGCTGTCTTTTCTGCAGTGTTGCTTTGTCTTTCTTACTCAGTACTTCTAACATCCTCCTAAAAGCCTCTTTGGCTTTAACTCCATCTTCTCACAAACAGCAATAAGGAATCCAAGAAGAAAACCAAATGGCACAAGAGCCATAAAAGAGACAGATTTTCTCAGTTTGTATTACAGTAGTACTTGCTGGCAAGGTTATCCAGGACTTCATTTTTCCCTCACTGCAGCAACTGAAGACTGCTGAAAACACCATGACCAAATGCACATGGCTGCCTAGGATAGCTCTTTTTAGCAGATGTCTGTCTGTCTTGCAAACAATGAATTGTAAATCTGCAATGCTACACCAGGATTATATACATTAATTCCAGCAGATGTAGAAGGTTTTTTAAAACACATTTTCATCTTCCCCATTGTTCTTCAAATAATGCCAAAGGGGTAGTGAATTGAAATGATTTATTGCAGTACAGATATTGACTGAAAGCTTAAGATCATTTTAAGACCTAGAGGTCATGAAATGCAAGTCTGGACTTGGGACAAATGAAGAAAGAACTTGTTCAACAGCTGCATGATTTAAAGCTGTAAGAATTTGACTGCTTTAAATCACTCAGCTGCTCAAGCTCCTTGTCTCCCATCCTTCCCAGGCTGCAGGATGACCACAGAAATCCCAGTTTACCATCAAACCCCAATTTTGTCAGTGGATTTTTCTATCAGCCATGAGCTCAGAATGGTAGGGGTGGAATTTTAGCTACATAAATCCACATGGCAAAAAACCAAACAGATCCTTGAGGGGTTGCATTTACACCAGGATGCTCTCCTTCCTTTAGGAGGCTTTTCCTAATTAATTTTTTGGAGATTTTGGTTAAACACTCCCATGTACCAGGATCTAATACTTCAGAGCTCAGTGCCAGACAGCCTTTTGGGCAGCTGTGCAGTTACAGAAGCACATCCCCAGTGTGCCTCTCCACAAACCACCTGCATACATTCTGTCCTCATCCCAGACTTTGAAAACATCTCCCACATTGATAAAATCAGCAGCAAACAAAACCTGGTCTGCTCCAAATCACTCCTTTTTGATATTCACCAGGAAAGGACTGCAAGGAAGAAAGTTTCCAAGTATGGTTTCCTCTGTCTCTCTTCCAGTATAAACTATCCCAGAACTTCTTCACTCATCAACTTGTCATCATAATCTGCAATAAAATTTAGCTTAGGAGACTTCATAGCTAGACAATGACTGTGCCCTGCTGGTGCTCATATGACTGGGTTTGCCTCATCTTACACTCCTCTGTGGGTCTTAGAAGAACTAAGCATTTAAGGGATTCTTTCTCTTTGAGCAGAATTTCACAACTGATTTACCCTGGCTTTAGAGTGAGCATGCCAATAATGACTACTGCAGTAGAGCTCAGGCAAATCAAGGTGCTACAGCACTATTTTTTTCCTGGATACTATCACCAGACATAATTAAAGTCACTCAAAACTCCAACATCTTCAGAAGCAAGTACTACCTACTCCTTCACAAAGCAGAATGTGCCTCTGAATATGGAACACAGTGGAGTTTCTCAAACACATTTTCTTCCACTGAAGTGTTACCTCTGTTTTCACAAGCCCTGCAAATCTGGCTTGTTCCCCACCTCCTATCTTAGAGAAACAGCCTCACTGCTTACAGCATTCTCTGTTTCTGAGCAAGCCTGCAGGGACTGAGAGCTTTTCATTGACAAAAAAAAACTACTCAGTGTTTCTCAGGTCACACTCAAAGTTGTTCCTTTTTTCCCCAACTGGTCCATAAAAGCCTAAAATGTCCCACTCTGGACAGAACCAGCCCTTTTCAATTTAACTCATTTGAAGCTGCATGTCTAAGGCTGTCTTTTCTGCAGTGTTGCTTTGTCTTTCTTACTCAGTACTTCTAACATCCTCCTAAAAGCCTCTTTGGCTTTAACTCCATCTTCTCACAAACAGCAATAAGGAATCCAAGAAGAAAACCAAATGGCACAAGAGCCATAAAAGAGACAGATTTTCTCAGTTTGTATTACAGTAGTACTTGCTGGCAAGGTTATCCAGGACTTCATTTTTCCCTCACTGCAGCAACTGAAGACTGCTGAAAACACCATGACCAAATGCACATGGCTGCCTAGGATAGCTCTTTTTAGCAGATGTCTGTCTGTCTTGTGCAGAAACTAAGTCAGGGTGGTGGAAATGCTCTCAGCTTGTCTGTGGCTAAGGGCCCAAAATGTGATGGGAAGTACCATACTCCAGCTACAGGGCTGAAAAGGAAGCAGAGAAGCAATACAGGGGAACACCATGTTCCCTCAATAATTACCACTTACACCAGAGAGACCTTCCAGACCACAGCTGGGACAAGCAGACAAAGCTCTGTGAAGAAGCTGGTGCTGAGACTGTCAGAGCTTTTATTTTTTATGCAGGGAACTGCACGTGCCAGTAGAAGCAACATGTCACCAAATGCAGCCACCCACATGGAGCACAGGGCTGCACATGTGTGTGCACATGCAGATGTTCTCTATAAAACTGTGCAGGCACCCACTCAAAACACCCAGACTTTTGAACAGAGAGGGAGATTACCAGGAAGAGGAGAGGTGGGGACTGAAGATCTCTGGAGTGCTGCTGAGTCTGGTCTCTTCTCTGGGATGGGAAGTGCAGGATCTGATTTCCCACTGGGGGCACTGGGCACAGAGGGCCTGCAAAGAGACACACTCAGAGCATGAGGAGGCACAGAACAGTGTTTGCAGTCTCTCTGCACAGGCTGTGCTGAAAACTTTCTTGTGTTGCTGCTCTATCACCTGCAGAAGTGAGCCCAGACACTAAACAGAGGTGACAGCCATGTACCTCTCCTTGTAACCATGGCAGCTAACATTAAAAACTTTCAGAGTGGCAAACCCTGGAGAGAAAGGAAGTATTTTCAAGACAGAGTCACCATAAACCTAAGCAGTAATCAAATCCCTGCACCCTGCCTGAGCTAAGTGACTTGATGGCATTCTAGCTTCTCCCTCTTCTTGCTCCACATAACCCTTCACCTGCACATGTCAGGGCTTCAGATTCACACATTAAGCAAATGTATCAGCAACCTGTGTATAACAACAGTAACCTTTCTGCTCCACAGAGTAATTATTGCACTTTACTTTCACTCACTTCTATGGAAGAAAGCATACAGCAGGACATGGGAACACTCCTGCTGCCACAAAGCTCCTTTTAGCTGCACATCTTTTGAATCTTCTCAGGAACTAGCTCTCCCTTGTCTTTTTGTAACAATGGCCTTGTTCTCCTTCTCTGCCAAGGAGCCCACAGTAAAAATCTATTTAAAAAATACTCCTCTCCTGTAATAAAAATGATTTTGTTATTGCATGTTGAAGAAGTATCTACTCCTGGCTTACCTCTCCTGAGGCGGTCCTGTACGTGCCAAGTGAGCTCTGAAAATGGACTGGATGAATGTCACAATCTCATCTCTCTCCTTGCAATCAGAAGAAAAGCTCAAGGAGTCTGACATGGAAGGCAGGCAGGAGTTCTGCAAAGCAATCAGATTAAGGAAAACTGACCTTTTACAGATTGCACAGAAGCTCAACAGAACCTTTCACAAGCTTCTTGATTGTAAAACTGGCAGTAGAACAAACATCCCCATCTTTTGGTCTGCTGTTTTTAAGGTTCTGTAAGACTAAATCAGCAGGAAATGCAAATCTGATCATCATGTAAGCTTTGAAGCATCAGCATTCAATTAATGAAAGAGCAGACACCTGCAAGGAAAGTTCATTTATTTTCCAGGAAGGAAACCTTTTGAAGATTAAGGAGGCAAGACAACCTTCATAATGGATTTATTTTCTGCTTATGTCAAGTCAAGTATTCAGTCCTCCTACATTGGGCCAGTTTACCAGAATCAAAGAGCATGGAAAGTACAATCAGATGGACAACCTGGATGGAGAATTACAAATTAACTACAGCATGTTAAAGGTCCAAAGGATATTTATATAACCTGGCAAATGATTTACAGAAACAGAATGTTTAATTGGTAAGGAAATTTTTTCATATTCAGAACTAAATAATCTGGAGCAAACTGGACATGAGAGAGGACACCAAGTCTTGGGTTGAGCATGCCTCACCAAGACTCCTTTACTTTTCAATCCACTAAAAGATGTTTTCCAGATTCTTACTGCTGAACTTTGGTGAAAAAAGTTTATCTATTACTCCAGTGACTGAATAGTGAACCCGTGAGAGCAGGTGATGTTTTGAACAGCATTCCAAATTAAAGAGTTAAAGGGTGTGCTATCTGATGGGAGAACCAGGAAAAAAAGAGAGTGACAGTGTTACAGGCCACAAAGCTGAGAAGTTACAGCTTTACTTCTAAGAAAACATGTGAACTACAGAAAGTAAGAAGGGAAGCCAGGGAATGAGCTCAGTGACTTTCTAGAATTACAGTGGTGCTGCCAACCAGCACATTAAAACAATCACCAGGTGATTCAACAAATTAAGGCTGGAAGTAAAGTCCTTTACAGTGCAAGACAAACACAGAGTGGTGCTGTCCCCACAATTACCTCGGTGTGAGGCTTTGCATCAGGCAGCCCAGCATCCAGCAGCACTTTCTGTCGAGATAAATGTCCTCTGAAGGCTGCCTGCAGCAGAACAACTGCCTGCCGTGGAGAGAAGTGGCCATTAGCTCCTCTGAAAGACAACCCACAGACACTGCACCCCCAGGGTCAGCTCTGGGGCTTAAATTCCATCTGGGAGGTGCTCAGGACTGATCCTACCAAATGCAGAGAAGTTCTAGCTGCCAGAACCAGCCTGAATTTCACTAGCACAGCACCATGCTCCCATCCCCACCTCAGATTCTGGGTACCCAGAGGGCTCTGAGATGCTCTGCTGCAATCAGAAACCAAGCCAAGGCTGGCAGACCTCGTGGTGATGGCACTGAAGGCAAGGCCTTCCACTCCCCTCAGAGATTTTACTGGGTTATAATCAACAAAAAGCATTTAGAACAGCATGGTTGTGTCACATGGTTAGAATTAGTTCTAATTTCTGAAAGTGGGACTTTTAATGTTCTGGAAGAAACAAAGGTAAGATGCTACATTGTGCTATTTGAAAAAAACAGTTTAATTAAAACCCTTCTGCAAAACATTCATCAAGAAATTACTTTGTGTGACAAACTTTTCATTATGTTCATAATTCTCACAGACATTTTTCCTTAGCAAAAGCTTCAAATGCTATTTCAAATCTTACTGAAGATTCATCATAATGAAAATTACATCAGGATTAGAATTATCTCATTTGAAAAACTTTCTTGTCTGTTGGTATCAGATTTTGTTTAGAATTTTCAGAAGCTTTCACCTTACAGATGGTACCAACTATGGAAAATTTGAGACCAAAAATTTGAGACCACTGACAAAACACATGAAACAAAATCAGGATGTCAGAAGAAAGATTATAGCCAGCCAGAAGAATAAATATTGTCTTGGCTGTTTGTCCTTTGATACAAATAAAATCTGTTGTACTGTTTGGTTGGGTATCATAGACACACTCACCTCATGCAGAGCAGCTTCTTCTTTCTGAAATGAAAAATGCCCATGGTTAAGGTCACAAATATATACAAGTTTTAGCTAATAAAGATTTGCCAAATTTTCTCAGTAATTAAAAGACCCAGAACACACTTGTTCAAACCCCTGCCAAACTCAAATAACATAATCTGTCAAGATGTGTGGATAGATGCTAAAATAAGAGTAAGATTCAGAGGGGGGATGGCTCTTCCCTGATAGGAGAATCTCACCTTGGTTTTGTACATCTTCCAGTATCTCTGGATAATTCTGGCTGCTTGTTCTTTCCTGTGATTTTCTTTGCCTGTCACTGTGCAGACTGGAGGAGCCTGCAGAGGAGAATCTCTAAGTTAGCACAGTAAAGACAGAGCTGTGAGGGAACAGATTACAAATGACTCAGGAAAATCAGCACCAGAGCTCATCCTGCCTGCAGGGCAGAGGGAAGTTCAAGAGGAAACTCTCAGTTCTGAGCCCTGCTTGTGTTCAAACTCATCAGGGAGAGGACTCTGAGAGTGAAACACATCCCTGCCCCCTCTCAGCCCTCAGCAGGGCATGGGAATGGAAAAGTTTCCATTTGCACATACTCCAATTTTCCTGTGCATTGCTAAGGCACTGCTAACTCACTGCTTTGTTGCTCAGAAATGATTTGTATGTTAGCAACAGACTGAGAACAAAAATCAGGTTATGGGATATTGCAGTTCTTCTCCAGGAAAGACAAGTATTAATTAACCAGGGAGGTTTCTCATGCCTCATCCTGGCAACTCTGGCCCCATAATCATCTCTTTAAGATTACTGAGAGCTGGCCACTGTATGACACCAAGCTTGTGTAAGTTGGCATAAATCTACTCTTCTATCTTAATGAAATTAATTAGAGGAAAAAGGAAGAAACCAAGAATAAAACAAGATTTGTTCCAATAATTTTTCCCAAGGTGTGGTTGCATATTCCACCTCTCACCACTTGATCTTTTTGATCCCTAATTATCCCACCCTACTTGTCATACCTCACATGCCAAACAAAAGTTAACTGCAAGTTTAAAAGATTAATTTAATTTGTTGGTGCAAAATTTTAACTAGAGGAACAAGAGATTTTATAGACTTTGAAAAAATCTCTTGATTCTGTGAAAAGAATTTATTTATAACCTAAAAAAAATGAGCTCCAGGCTTAAGTTTAGCAAATGGATCATGTCATATTAAAAATGACAACCTACTATTAAAATGAGAAATTGGTAGGAACTTAGTGATAATTACAAATAATGGGAACATTTCAATAAATAGATGGTTACTGGCCAAGAATATATATAGTCTGCAGAGGGAAAAAGGAGCTGTTTGTTGGCTGTTTTTAAAGATTCCAGTTATTTGGTATTCAAAACATCCTCTAAGATCCATGAGCCTGTAACACACAGAAAAGAATCTACAGAATGGCACAGTATATCAGAAACCAGAACCCTCTGAAGCCACTGGACATTTTTATTAGTGTTTTTTACTATGTGTATTTCAGGGTCTATTTATTTTTAAGCGAAAATCAAAATTCCCAGTAATAATTTCCAAGTAGTATCTAGTGAAATGAGATTAACATGGCCACAGTGCCTCTGAAAGCAGCTCTGTCAGTGCCCATCCATCTCTGCTGGCCAATTACCTCAATTGGAAGAGGGACAGAAGATTGCAGAGATATCAAGTTCAGACATATTTTACAAAACCCCAAAAGGATTCAAGAGCCACACTTGAGACTGTCCAGGATTAACAGAATATATGCACAAACATATTTATTAGGTAGAATACCTCAACTCTAGGAAAACTTCACTTGAAAGTGAAGCTCACTTATTTCATTATATTGACATCTTCCTTAATTCTTGACTCAAATATTATGTTCTACCAGCAGCAGAATTAAAACCCCCTCAATTTCCATGATGATTAGTGTTCTACATCCTGTAAATCTTCCCATGAAAAAGCACCTCACTTCCATCCTAACAGAAAAGCAAGTGAGTATTTTCTGACTGGACAGCACTTGTACCCTAAGTGACACCAGCAGAAAAAGGGATTTTTATCTTTTGCCAGTCTGCCAGGGAGCACATTTACCTGTGTCTCCATTCTTTATCAAACTGTCAACTCCTACAAAACCTCCCTCCCTCTACAAAATCAGACTGAAATTAGGCAATGGCCTCAAGTGCTGTAAGAAGATAAAAATAACCACACATTTTTTAATTTTTAAAGTATTGGGAACAGCCCTAAACACTTAAAAGTTTTAAGTCTTTTGCAATATTACACTGAACAAGAAAAAAAGCAATAGAAATGCAGAGGATCACTAACAGAACAGCTTCAAAAAACTCCCCAGGTTGCAGTGTTAATTATTGAAATAAGTTATTTCCAACAAACATTGGGAGTTAACCATCATTATCTCTATGACAAGATTTAATGGAGCTCTGAAAAAACACAACTAGCAGCTCTTTAGACTACCAAACCCAATTGAAATCTATATCAGACACAAAGAAAAAAGAAAAACACAAACAAAAATGTGGCTGTACCTTATTAAGCTTTTCCACTGTATCTTCTCCCATTTGTCTTTTCTCCTCCTCCAGTTTTAACTCCAGTTTCCCTACTTTCTGGGTCAGGTTCTGGATCTCCTCACTATGGTTGGAAAAGCAGAGATATTTATAGCTTATAGAAATTTTCTGTTTACCCTGCTTTGAAAATACTGAACCTATTCCAGAACACTTGGTTGGTTGCTTTGGGTTTGTTTTTTAAGGCCAAGGAGGGGAACTGCTCAGGATGATACCTGTTCTCATAGTAACAGACACAGGACATCAATTCTCAATCTGTGATAGCACAGCCTTATGGTAAAATGCAAAGAGTCTCAAGGTTACTGTGGTAGCCTTGATACTATTAATAATGTATTTAGATCTGCTACAGTTTTGTATTTGTCAGTCAAAGTCCTTTCTCACAAAACAATATTGAAATCACTTTTTTTGTGCCTCCCTTGCACAGGATTCTCACTCACAGTTGTGCAGAACACAAGGAGTAACTGGAATGACACAGAGACAATGGTCTGGAAACACAGGCCAAGGTTAAGAAAGAACATTTTCCTAGACAAAAAATGTCTGAGCCCAACATAAAAGCTTTTTCCATTTATCTTTTGAATTTTTATTATAATTTAGATCTTATTTTTACTACATACTTAGTCTTCCACTTTCTCTAAGAGCACTCTGTAGAAGTCTTCCCTAGTAACTTACTCCATCCCTCCAAACACTTCTGCTTAAAAGAACCCCCAGCTTCTTGCAGTTCAGATGAACTCCTACAGAATTTGAGCCACTTCAAAAGAGAATTATACTTCAGGAGATTTTTTTTGGGTTCCAAAAGGATCTATTAATACAAAATGCTTTACCTTAAAGTCTGCTCTTCTGTACTCTTTTCTTCCATCTTACTCTGCCACTTCTGCAGCTCCAGCTCCACTTCAGCCTTAGCCTGCAGTAACTGCTTGATATCTAACCTACAAAGGTACAAGGAAATCTCAGTGATACCTGACACATTCATACTTCCACCAAGTACCTTTTTTTAAAAACTTTTAAATCAATTGGGTTTTCTCAAATTTGTAAAGTAACTAAATGTTTAATTTTTCCTTTTAAACAAAACAAAGTGCAAGCACCCATTGCTGAGCAGCAACATGCTCTCACTTTGCATTTTTGTTCAGAGGTGACACAGGAGGCAGAGTGTCAGCAACACACCCCCCATGGGCATGTTCCTGCTCTGATTAACCTGCCCCAAGGACACATCAAACAGTCCAGGCAATACAAACTGCAGATCAATCACTTATGGGGAGGACAGAAGCCACAGGGGATCCCAGGGCAGAAGGCAGGTTTAAATGGAGAAAGTGGGAGATCAGGACAAAACATGTTGAAAAAAACAAACAAACAAACAAATTAAAAAAAACCCAACAAAACCAAACAAACCACAAATTTTTACAGCACAATACAAACAAGAAGTGCTGCATAAACATATAACCCTTCAAAGGGTTTTCAGTGTGGTTGGCAGAAAAATAAGCTTTGAAAAATGTGCTAGAAATGAGCAGAAATTCTCATTTTCCATCTTCTGGCTTTTCCTCTTCAGTGTAATATTATGAAGCAAGTAGGATTAGAAAGAAGCTTTTGAAATAAAAACTGAAGGGATTCTCAAAATTAATATTCTAGTTGAAAATGTGAATTACTTCATACATCACTTCATAACAGGATCAGATATGATGAAATAGAAGCCCTGACACACCAAACAGTCCAGGCAATACCAACTGCAGATCAATCACTTATGGGGAGGACAGAAGCCACAGGGGATCCCAGGGCAGAAGGCAGGTTTAAATGGAGAAAGTGGGAGATCAGGACAAAACATGTTGAAAAAAACAAACAAACAAACAAATTAAAAAAAACCCAACAAAACCAAACAAACCACAAATTTTTACAGCACAATACAAACAAGAAGTGCTGCATAAACATATAACCCTTCAAAGGGTTTTCAGTGTGGTTGGCAGAAAAATAAGCTTTGAAAAATGTGCTAGAAATGAGCAGAAATTCTCATTTTCCATCTTCTGGCTTTTCCTCTTCAGTGTAATATTATGAAGCAAGTAGGATTAGAAAGAAGCTTTTGAAATAAAAACTGAAGGGATTCTCAAAATTAATATTCTAGTTGAAAATGTGAATTACTTCATACATCACTTCATAACAGGATCAGATATGATGAAATAGAAGAACATCCCAGACAAGAGTCACACTTACTCTTTACTGAGCAGGAGGTTCTGAAGTGCCTGCCTATCATTCTTCAGTTTCTTCACCAGCTTCTGGAGGCGACAGCATTCCTCACCTAAATGCTGGGATGATGGATGGTCCAGGTCCACAGAAGGTGAAGATGACTCAGGAAGCACTTGTGAAGCCTCACTATCACCTAAGGATGCCCTGCTGCTCTCCATGGCACACACTTTCTAAGCAGGGTAAATTCACATGGAGAACACACACACAAAAAAAGAAAATTAAATTTAGCGTGAAATTACTTTATTTGGGCCATCAGAAAAGATCAAATGGAGGTTAATTCTCAAATGTGCATCTATATCTAAAAAGTGTGATAGAAGAAAACAGGGAGGGAGGGCTCATGCTATAGGCAGCAGGTAATGTGTGTGAGGCAGAATGCACAAGGCTGAGACACTGAAGAACATGCCAAGAGCACAAGGCAGTGGTTCTGCATTTTCTGCTCCCAGACAGGTAAGAAAGCACTTAACTATGACCACTTACTTTTTCTAGATCCATAATCTTCCTCACCAGCCTTTGTCTGCTCCACTCACTATAATCTAAATACAATAACAAAGCTTTAAACATGTAACTACATCCATGGGGCAACATTGTTCTTGCCTTTTGAAACTTCTGGCCCTATCAAAAGATCATTTAAAGATCTATGAATGCCAACTTTAAATATCTACCAATGAAAAAATGAGAATGGGTATAAAATATCTGACTTCTAAACCAAATAGCTCAGAAATAAATATAAGCCACTCACATTCACCAGCTTTCAGCTATTGAGAAAGTTTCCACTATCAATTCCAGTTTAGAATTCTCAGGGACAATAACAGAGGAAACACAGATCTGACTGGAGAAATCAGAGACTCCTGAAAGAAGGTTTTCATTCCAACTTTGCCACTCCTGAATCTTCACTTTTGTAATAACTCCCTTATTGCCACCTTTGTAGGGTCCTGCTGTCACACATCTCCCAGACGTACCCAAATCCCCTGCCTCACCTTCCCTGACTTTCCAGCACATACTTTTTGTTTTACTGTGAGGAGGGGAGGTGCTCAGCACGTGATCCAGGTCCTCCTTCAGCCTGCGATTCTCAGCCTGCATTTCCCTGATGTTCCTGGAGAGCCTCAGCACAGCAGCATTCAGGGCCTTCAGTCGTTTCTGGGTGTCTCTGCCCTCTGCACTTGGAAAAGGGATCAAAACCAGAAAGTTAACTTAAAAGCAGAGAACAAAGAAGCAGCATTAAAAAGAGTGGAGCAGCTTCACTATTCAAGTCAGGTGGCTGAGTTGACAGCCTCAGTTCCCCCATAATAACATTTCTCAATGTTTTATTTTATTTGGGGAGTTATCTATTCTTTTCTGAAAAAGCATGCAAAGATCATCTTGCTTAACACTTCCACAATTGTTTTAATTTGTGTCAAAAAATGTGAAACATTGAAAATTAATTTATTACTTTTACTTCCTCCCCCACTCTGTTCCATTTATGCACAAACAAGCACACTTGTATGAATGTTATTTATCTTATTTTCTGTATGTTTTGTTAACCAATCTTATAATGTTTACCAGCACTCTGTGAGCCTCTGATTTAAAAAATGCTTCAGCCAACTGTGAGACTCCTCCAAAAAACTGTCCAGCACAGAGAGCAAACCTGCAGGCTCTGAATGTTTTTGTTCACTAACAAACATTGAGAATTGGGGAGAGAGAGAGGGACAGACGGAGATGAAATAGCTCTCAAACAAATCCAACACCCAAATGTATTTCCAGATAACTGGAAATAGTGTTCTACTGTAAAAGGAACTATCCTTGTGTCTATAAAACCCAGACAGATCTGAAACAGATTTGAAGAATACAGTTAATATGGAAATGAAAAGCATCAGAAATGGGAAAGCCTGTTATGTGCTAAAATTACTTTAAATATACTACAGGGATTTTTAGGTTTTTTCCTAATAAAGGAGGGAAGAAATCTGAGCTTCTAGATGTGCAAAGTTGTAATGTTTGTTCACAAAACAGACTTGTAGTGAGATGAAGTAGATTTTCTTTATTGCTATGAGAAAATTTCCAAAAACTTACTTCTGGAAATAAAGGCCTGAAGTAACAGATGGACTTAGTTTTGCACTCATGCCACTGTCAGTGACAAACACAGAACGGTTTGAGAAGGAATCTTACATCACATCCACTGGAATAATTACAAGGTAAAAGGGGAGACAGCCTACAGTCAGCATATCAGAGTGAAAAGGGTGAATTTTCAGCTGATCTCCTTTTTAGAAATTAAAAGGAAATGAAGAAAAAGCCAAACAAAATAGGGCTGTCCAGATGTCAGGGATGACTATCCCCACAGCTGTCCCAGGCAGGAGGGGAAAAAAAGAGTAAAAACCAAAACACAACACACCATCAAAATGGGGTAGTGACATAAATGACAGAAATCATAACCAGACCACTCAGTGACAGTATTTTAGGCTCATCTAAACCTAAACAAAAAAATAGATTTCAGTCCATTTTGAGAGCTTAAAAAGTCAGTTTCTAGCTACAACTGGATACTACAGCTTCACATATCAATAACCACACTTCAGTATTAACATTGAAAAAGAGAAGCCAAATGCCATTCACTTCAGCCAGAACTAATGGAGACAAGCAGCACGAAAGAAATACTCTCAAACAACTCTTTCAATATGCCAGAGTCCTGACCTTCAACATGATTTATTATTTCAGTGCTCAGCCTCCCCAGCAGAGACTGACAGTCACGTAATGGAGAGAGACTGCCCTGACCACCACTTTCTGAAGCTATGAATAAATGAGGACAAGGAAGAGACCTGGTGACTCATTTCACCTGTAAATAAACTAGGTGTGATGGCTTAGAGCCTCGAGAGGCTGGTCACTGCAGGCCTCAGCCAAAGGATTTATTTTTTTAAAAAAGTGACAAAACAAATTGCAGTTTTCAATCCACAAGTGACAGTGAATTAGGGAACACAAGCAGTATAAATAATGACCGAGTTCTCACATGTTTCTATCAATCTAAATAATTACACTCAGTGTTAAGACAGTTGTCTTTACTTAACACTAGGAGGTCAAGTATATTTTGAAGTGGTGTGGTAACAAATTTTACTGTCCTACAAGACACTCTTACCCTTTTTTCAGCTCAAATAACACTCACTTGCAGTGATGCTTTTAATTTGCTCTCTTAGTGGAGTTTTGTCTTCTGCCTTTGTGCTTTGACTTTTATTGCCTCTACAAACTGTTCACCCTCACCACCATGCCCACATTTGCACACCAGTAACAAGCACTAGTACAAGCTTCTCTGACACAATTTACTAGTCTGTGTCTCTGTACCAAAGGAAAATAATGTTTACTCCAAGAACATTTTCTTTGCAGCACACACTCTAGGGCAAGATGCAGAACTGACTCAAGTGTGAAATGCCAAACATCCAGGGAGTTTGTTTCAATTACCAGTAATGCCAGAATAGGTGTGATTATGAGGGAAGATGTAACAGAGATAAATTTTCAGTGCCATCCTGTACTTTCTAAATAGCTCTGGTATTTTTCCAGATCCACAGAGTGATCTATCTACAAGCAAAAAAAAGTGACTAAGACATATTTCAAGACTGTGAAGCCAACTAAAGCAGTACCAAAAAAGCAAATCCAGCAATCTAAATGACAAAAACTGTTCCCATGTAGTAGTTTTCCATCAGCTAAAGTAAGACTCCAGTGATGTGCCAAACACATGCATTTTTATCAGGAGAATTAAACATACTTTTTCCTCATAGTCTCAGACTTGGCCAGGAGGAGTTGGAGGCGATGAACCTGTGAAACAGAGATCCCATTGAGGAGCATTAGCAATGTCAGCTTCCACTGCAACACATCTGCTCATTAGGTGAAAATCAGAACAAGATTCTCTGGGCAGGGGCAGAGCTAATGATGCCATCACTGAAAATCAGGCTACTGTTAAATTTGCTTCCATCTCAACGTTACATTTATGGATGTACAGTGGGTTCTTGACTTGCCCTTATTCATTAACACACTCAACCTATTGAAAAAAAAACCACATTTTTCCAGTACATACAGCTGGAGCTGTGAGAATAACTATGAAAACCTGCTACCAATGACAGGTGTTGTTAAGGTACAAGAAACTTATCTTAAATATTCCATTTCCATTTTGACTCAACAACTGCCCAGCTTCCTGTCCTGCCTGCACCCTGAAGGACCTGCCAGACCTACCTCTTCATAGTAGGTTTCCATGGCTAACCTCACTTCTTCCAAACTACTGGTCTTCATGTCTGCCTGGGATTCACTGCAAATAGAATAATACAAAAAAGAATCCAGTCAGATCAGCAAAGATACTGCAAGCTGATGGTTCATAATGTTTTTGGTTTATAATTGCTAACATGTTCTCGGAGTTTATTAATATGTCTTAAGGAATAGAACACAAATAAAAATAACATGTATTTCCAATCCTCTCTATTAGCTCAGCCAATACAAGCCTCTATCCCCTGCCCCCTCAAAGTCATACTTAATAGTGTTGTCTTTCTCCTTGCACTGCTCTTCAAGCTTGACAATCTTCTGCTTTAATCCAGTAACCACCTACAGAAAGAACAAAGAGCTCATGAGTCCTTGAATAATCTGTCTCTTCACAGAAGGTCTATTCCTGTCTGCCCTGTCTTTATACATTGTACCTAATCAGATATACTTATTTCTATATATTTCAGTCCTTAGTAAACCATACACATCTGCTACCCTGTGAAAAAGAGAACACTGATGAAATCAGATGCCTGATTTCATAATGAGCTTAAGCATATGGATATACAACCATAAAATAAAACAACATTGCCCATTACCTAGCCAACATCAAAGCAGCAAACAATAGGGAGAATACTGCCTAAAGAGACTCAAGACAATGACAAAGAAAGCCCTTCAAAATAATGTTGATTCTAGATCATTGTTACTGACTCCTTACCTGCTAACAGAGATACAGGTTATATGATTCCCTAACTGATTATTCTTTCTGACCTAATTTTATTTTTTTTAGTAGTATCTCATCTCAGCAAGAGGAAAAAGGACAAATGAAAGCAGGAAGTGATGAAGACACTCTTACCCATCCATTATCAGTCTTCTTTTCTGACAAAGCTCGTGCCAGCTCTGAGCCCTACAACAGAAAAAGCAAGTGACCAACTCTGCTACTTTATTCTACTGCTGGCTCTTTCCAGAGAATATTCCAACCTGCTCAACTCCACAGTCACATTACAGTCCAACAGCTGAAATTCTGAACTCCCTATGCCCACAGCTTTCTATTAGCACATTTCTCCCAAGATGTAGGTCTGCACATAGTGACAGCCACAAGAAATTCAGCAAGATTCAAGTCTGACCACAACCACAAATGCCTCTTGTCAGGGCCTGACAAGGCTGCTCTTCTGCCTCCTGGTCAGGTCTCAGGCAAAATATTCAGGAAGTGGGCTCCTAATGAGACAGCATTTTTATTTTACCTTCAGAAATTAAAGGTATTTGTGATAAATAAACTTATCTGTAGTGCATGGCATCATCTTCCTTTGAACTGAGCTGGACTGCTGATCTGCTCGACCAGAAATCCCTTTACAGCACCTCTCATATTCCAGCTCATCACTCCTAGGAGTCACCACACTACAAAATTCCTTCTCTTTTGCCCCACTTTTATCCCCACAAGAAATACCCACCCTGGAAGGATCCAGCAGTTGTTCAATCTGTTTATCCTTTCTACTGTTCTCCTCTTCCAGGCGACGGAGCTTTGTCTTCATTCGGTCTCCCTCATTCTTCTGAGCTTGTATTGTCTAAAAGAGGGGAAAAGAATCTTAAGCACATTTCAGAAATAGGAAAATGCAGAGTTTTCACATGGAAACACATTTTGATGACAAAACCAATCCAATTACAATGGTAAAGATGACATGGAAGAAGAGGGCAAAACAGCCAAAACACAAAACCACCACATTGGACCAGGGCAGACACCAGGACAGGACAGCTTAGGGAGGAGACAGAGGGAAGATAAAAGGAGAGGGTCTAACAGAAAGGCAGCCTTACACAAACAATCAACCCCAGCCAAGGTATTTGTCCACAGAGTTCAACAAGCCCAGTTCTCACCCTTCATCACAGTGCACCAACCTCTACAGAAAACTCCAACCCTATCACCACAGTGAATTTGTCTGTGTCAGACACAAGTTTTAGTTTAGCCCTACATTACAAATGCAAAAAATGTGATGAATATCCCAGGTTCTAGAAATAAAAGTATTCTGGATCATTAAGGCCAGGACATGCACAGGATGGAGCAATGCCATGACTTTTTCTGTAATATCAGAGAAACTGTACCTTTTTCAGTTCTATAATTTCATCATACATATCTTCTTTCTCTTTGTAGTCAGGAGTTCCAGGAACGTAGCCTACAGAAAGGGGAATGTAAAATAAGTAGATCCAAAAGAGGTATTTTTAACCAACCAGAAACCTTACAGATAAAGAGAAATATCTAGAACAGCACCGAAGTGGAAACCAGGTATTTTTCCTTTCCTCAAAGAGGAAAAATCAACAAGGAAATTAATTTTAGAAACAGAGGTGAAATTGAAGTGTTACTGTATGAAAAAAATCTGCCAGATTTTGCAGACAATTTTTTCCTAATTACTTCTCTTTTCTGGTGGTGCATTAAACTATCCATCTCAAGAAAGATATAAACATCAGAGAAGACTAGAGTCTCCTCATCCCAATAAATCCATTATTTACAAAAGGTTTCTAAAAGATGTCTGGAATATATTTTTCTATTTATGCTTAACATGCACAAATATATCTTGTAAAATTGCCAGAAACTGTGAATCACCAGTAACTGTATAGGTGTCATTTAAAATAGGAGTGGAATTTAAAAGTTTACAGTTCTCCTTTAAGAAAAGCAGAATAAAACTTTGAAAGTTTGCTCTTCTCATAAAACTCATTTGATTTTAATGTCACAACCACATGATAAAACACTTTCTAGAGAAGAAGTAAAAGGAGTCAATTACACAGAATTTCAGGCAAGCAGATGGTTTCTATCAATGGTTCCTAAACTATGTTTTGAAGTCACAATAAATTGTCTACAGCTGTCCCATTGAACCATATTATATTTGCAACGTTTTCAGCTGCAAATGCATGGCAATTTGCAAAAGTTTTGAAAGCTAACAGTGATTCATTGCTCAAAAAAATTGGAAATCCCTGCCTTAACCAATTTAGGAATCTCAAAAAGTATCTCATGGATCATATTTTCACACATGTATTTTAGTAAACTAAAATGGCTCTTGCTTTTCTTAAGCAATGTGTGTTTTTAGAGGGGAAAAAAATAAACTCACTTTTATCTACCACACACCATTATAGAGCTTACCATTACTGGAAGAACGAGCATGTTTTGGCTTTTTCATTCCTAGAGCTTCCTTCAAATATTCTGGAGTGCTACTGGAAACATTAGCTCGCACATGCCCCGTGTCAGCATCTGATTTCAGAGCATGGCTCATTCCTGCCAAGAGAAATGGAACAAAAATGCAAAAATCAGGGATAATTGTGAATTAAATTTGTGGAATTATTCTGAACAAATGCAACACGGAAAGCTCCAGATGCTGTTAATTATTCCCTCTATAAATGCCAATGCTCAAGATCAGATAATTCCAACCACCCAAATAAATAACAGTGAAATTAATTCCTATGTAACCTTTAATCAAATACAAATCTATTTTTAATAGTTTATATGTTAAGCTGTCCACAACAACGAATTTTATCCATAAATGCAAACAACATTTCTATACTAATACCTTGTTTCAGAAATCCCAGCCACATCTGCCTTGGGTTTTCAACAGCTGCATTCTCAAAACAAGCACTGCCCGTTCCCTGCAGAGGTCTCCAAGCTGCAGCTTTTTTAGGATACAGTTGTGTGCTTGAGCTGTAGGGAGACTCTACAGTAAAAGAAAATATCTCAGTGCTGCCTTCAAAAGCTCAAGGTTACTAAAATTCTTGTTTCTTGTTCTTCAAAGTTTCCAGAGTCAATCCTATTACTTGTACAAATAGAATTTAACAGCATATTCCATAGTGGCTTATACAGAGCAATGGGACAGGCACATAAAAAAACCTACAAAACCCAAAAAACTCCACTATAAATAAAAAAATACAATTTCAAAAAATGAGAAAAAGGCAGAGTGACAGTAGTATGATTCAACACATGTGGAAATACTTATGTGTACAGTTTGGACAGGCATCTTTAAGATATCTGCACATCAAAATGTTGTTATTAACAACACTTTAGTGTAAAACCTCCTTTGAAACATTCACTAGAAGCCAATGAAGCAAGGTAAATGGAAAAGTGTAGGAAAAAACCATAAACCCCAGAAAAGAAGGACAAATCCAATATTAAAACTGCAGATCTAATAATAATAACAACATTGTACTGTGAAAAAAACCCAAAACAACCCTTCACAACAAATGAAACAGAGAACCACTAAATCTACACACAGAGATCTATGACTGGATGGTGGAGAGCTCCAGTAATTCCAGAGTCTCTCTACACAACAAGTATCAGCATTTCTCCAAAAAGACGGGGAGAAAAATTCAGAATGGTTGCCATCAGAAGGCATAACATGAGAAAAAAGTAGATTATACTGGAGAATCAAGATTTACAACCAACCCATAAATTCCAACATTTTAGTATATACAAGTTGGACTTCACAGGTTACAGAACAGATCTCATAGGTGTGCTCTGCACACAGCAGTGAATAATTCTGAAGAGAATAACAAGATCTTACGTCAAATAAAGCTCCCAGTTCCTGTAAGCTACAAATGTATCCAGTTTTGCAACTGCAGAATAAAGTTTTGGAACACTTACTTGGTGATTTTGGAGGCTTGTGAAAAATCTTCTTCTTTAACTTCTGAAAGAGAAAGAGATTTTTTTTCTGTATTGAAAATACTCAGCTCTTAAGATACCATCATATAATCTCAAAATTGCCTTTAATGTCCCATTTTCTATGAAGATCTTTTGTTCTAATAAGAAAAAAACTTTTCTATAGAAAAGAAAAACAGTAGCATTAAGCATATGCAGATTTGGGCACAGCAGTGGTGACCAGAATTAAGGTGGTGACAACTGAAGTCTGATTATACAGATAAACTGTCCATTCTTGCTCAGAACACGAGACCTTTCCCAGCAATACTAAATATGAGTAGCAGAAAATTCAAGATGAGGCTGATCTGTAGAACCCTGTAGTTAAAGGAGTTATTCAATTCCATTAAAGCTCTCTGAAAGGATACTTAAGCCCACAAGTTGATAGAACAGCAAAATAAAGCCAAACATCATTTGCAGCCCCAGTGGTAATTCCATTAAAACTCTCTGAAAGGATTACTTAAGCCCACCAGTTGATAGAACAGCAAAATAAAGCCAAACATCATTTGCAGCCCCAGTGGTGAGAATGTGGGAGGCAGAATTACAGCTGAAATCAGAGGTCTGTGACTCAAGCCCACTGCAGTGCCACTGTTCACTCTCCTCTCTGAGGGGTGCTTGGTGAGCAGCAGGCAGCACAGAGATGAGCAGGAACTCCAGAGGGGTTTTGGGCATTAACCCAAACTCACCATGGCTGTGTCTGACTGGCAGGTTACCACAGACAGCTTGTCATCTCCCTGGAAACACAGACAGGACATTGGCTCCTGAACAACTGCTTGCAATACACATCCAGAAAACTTCTACAGTTCAACACAGGTGGAGAGCAATAAATTCAAACAGCAAACACTGTGACCAAAGCCTCTGTTTCTCTTCCATTGCATTGCTAAAATCTCAATTGTTTAAGACAAAAATAAGCCATTTTTCAAAAACACTGAAGCCACTGAAGGATGGTGGGGCTCTTGCTGCAAAAGCCAACATCATTTGGTCTAATACAAATAGTTTTGGGCTATTGTGAAAGGCACTTCAGAAATGAACCATCATAGAATGCTTTGGGTTGGAAGGGACCTTAAGGATCACCCAGTTTCAACCCCTGTGCCACGAGCAGGGACACTTTGGGGCACTTGAGTCACAGAGACTTGGCACTGCAGTGCACAGCATGGCACCAGCTGAACCTTCAGCTGCCTCTGCATGAATTTCTCCACCATTTAAGCTGCAACTCACTCAGCTCTCCCCTTCCTCCCTCACCTGTGCCACCCCTGCTATGCTGTGGGATTGTTCAGCTCCTGAATTGAAACGGAGAAGGGCTCAGGCCAAGGGAAGACACCTCAAATGCAAGGAAGATGACAAGCTTCCCTCCCTCTCAAATGCAAGCATATCCACAGCTGAAGGAAAATTTCCACTTAGCTTCCAAATTATCTGGATGCTGCCTGCACAGAAAGACCTTTCCCACTGCTGCTGGCTCTGTGGCACTCAGCACCAGCCTTTGGACAGATGCTGATCTGTGCCTGTAACAGGCAGGGGAGGGGGTGAAGTATTTTTGGAAACCCTGGCTGGCAGAAGAGGAGCAAGGAGAGCAGGTTAAAGAGGCTGCCATGCTGGCTGAGAGCAGGCAGGGATGTGTCCTCACACACCAGGCCACACAGTTTTTCATTTCCTGAGGCAATGCTCCTTGCAGCACACTGATTAATTTTGTTATTTTAAGGCGTCTCATTCTGAAATATCTCTGCCTAACTGCAGCTATCATGTTTGGAATCAATGTGGAGAGAGCCCAGCTTTGATAAATGGTAACAAAGCCTCGGCCAGGATACAAACATGCAGTAACAGCCCCACCACTATTGCCTGGTAACTTCAGAGCCCCTTTGCTCCTGCAAAACTGCCCCAAGCAGGCAGCAACAGAACCTGGGGGCTCCCAGAGGGGCTCAAAACCTCCAGCTGGCTGCTGAGGGGGTGGCAGACAAACACCAACACAGAACCACAGAATTATCTAGGCTGGAAAAGCCCTCCAAGAGCATCGAGTCCAGCCTAGGACCCAACACCACCTTACAGACCATGGCACCGAGTGCCACTCCAGCCTTCCTTTAAACGCCTCCAGGGACGGCAAATCCACCACCTCCCCGGGCAGCCCTTTCCAATATCTCATCACTCTTTCTGTGAAGAAATTCTTCCTAACGTCCAGGCTAACCCTTCCTCAGCACAGCCCGAGACTTGGCCAGCTCTGTGCCGTGCTGCGGGGCGCTCGGGGGGACACAGCCAGAGCCCGGAGTCCCGCGGGCTGAGAAGGCAGGAGCCATCGCGCTCCCCCTCCGAGCCTCCGTGCCGCCGGCCTGGCGAGCCCGGGGGTGCTCCAAGGCTCTGCCCCGGCCTCGCCCGAGCGTTTCCCGAGCCGAGCCCGGGCCGAAGCAGGCCTAGACCCGGCGCCTTCTCCTCCTCCCCGCCGCTCACTCCTTACCAGCTCCCCCTCCGCGGCCGCCTCGCCGGCCCCCCGGGCCATGGTGGGAGAGAGGTGGGAAGGCCTCAGGGGGCGGCGGGGCCGCGGGGCCCCCCTCGGGCCGTGGCTGCCGGCTCGGGGCTGGGGGCAGCCATCGCCCCCCGGCGGCACTTCCGGGTCGCGGTAACCATGGCAACCCTCGGCGGCCCGGGGTGGTGACGCATGCGCAGAGCGGGGGCGCGCCTGCAGGCAGTGTCGGGGGAGGACTCGGCCTGGCCGCGGAGCGCGGGTGACACCAAGCGGCCCCGCAGGGAGCGAAACCGCGGCGGGCGGCGGAGCGGCCTCTGCGAGGGCTCCGCTCCACTTGCGGGCCGGGAGCTTCTGCCCGAGAGCGCCGGGATAACTGCGGGCAAGGCGCAACTCCATCCCGCGCACCGCCGCTACCGTCCCGCAGCCGCCGCCGGCCCCTGGAGCGCGCCCGGGTCACGCCCCCTGACCGGCCGCTGGCCACGCCCCCGCGGCGCTGGCCACGCCCCCTTTGCGACACTCGCGGCGCGGCCGGGCCGGGCCGGTGTCGGTCCCGGTAGTCCCGGTGGTCCCGGCGGTCCTGGTGGTCCCGGTAGTCCCGGCCATGTGCGACCCCCTCTTCCACTTCGTGGCCCGGGCCCGCCGCCGCTTCGCCATGACCCGCGAGTGCGCCCTGCTGCTGCCCGGCGTCTGCGCCGCCCTGGCCGACCCGCGGCAGCCCGGCCTCGACGACACCTGCCTGGAGAAGCTGCTGGACTGGTTCCGCAGCCTGACGTGGTTCGGTGAGCGCCGCGGGCTGGCGGGGGCTGCCCCGGGGGCAGCGGAGAGCCCACACGGGGCTGTTGGGGCTGGGAGGACCCTCCTGGGGTCAGGCAGGGTCACCTGGAGCCGGTGGCACGGGAGCGGGGTCCGGGCGGGATTGGAATGTCTGCACCACGATCTGAGGGGCTGCGGCCCTGGAAGTGCTGGGTGCACCCGCATTCGTCAGCTCCGGCAGCTGGCAGGGCTCGCCCCAGCTCAGGGAAGCCCTGGCAGTGAGCTGCTGTTTTCTGGCCTCTCCCGGGCAGACCCCACGGTGGAGCTGGTGCGGGACAACCCGTGTCTGGCAGAGCTCCTGGGCTCCGTGCTGGCCCTGCCCGACCCCAGCCCCGCCGTCCTGTCCTTCGCCCTGCAGCTGGCCGGGATCCTCGCCTCCTCCGAGAGCCGCTTCCAGCACCTGCAGGTGAGTCGGCCCTGCTGCTGTGTGTCTGCTGCTCCTTCCCTGTGGATTGTCCCTAAAAACGTGGATGTTCTGCTTAGTTAATTTGTGGCTTATGTGGAACAACTCAGCAAAAGTGATTTGACAGCAAAGACCTGCCATCACCAATCCTGTTCAGTTCTCGTGTACAGCTGTGTGCACTTCTGCCTCTCCACAGCAGGACTGAATGCTGAAGGGTAGTGCTTCCATTTTTAGTTCAAAAGAGTGCATGGGGTAACCCAGCTCTGGGTTGGACTCCATGATCCTGAAGGTCTCTTCCAGCCTAGTCATTCTGTGAACACTGCTTCACAGCAGTCTCTGCACAGTACTGTATCCCAGAACACATCCTGCAGATTGAAACTGCACTAACAGATGTCATTTTCCCTCTGTAATAGGTTGACAGGAAATTTTTGATTCCGTGCAAAAACAAGGGAGCTTTTTAAAGCCGTGCTTTCTTCACCAGGGTACATTTTAGTACAAAACCCAAAAGGCTGCATTCAGGGAAGAGATGTGTACAGGTGGAACTGATGCACATAAGTTATCCTTCAGCACCTGCAAACAAAGCAGATTTGGTTTTGAACACTCTGGTTTGTCCATACGTTGCGTTTAAGGTGAAATTCTGAAAACTGCCCATTTTATGATACTTGTAGCAAGAGGGCATTTCACTACAGTACTGCTCCTCCCGACTGGGACAGAGCAGCCCCTTTACTCACTGCTTGCTCTGCTTTGTGCCCTTTCTCAGCAGGAGAAGCTGCTGGCGAGGCTGTTTGGCCGGGAGGGCCCGCGGGGCGGCGCGGCGTGGGAGGAGGCGGCGGTGCGCAGCGCCTGGCTGAAGGGAGTGCACAGCATGCTGCAGCACCTGCCCGCCCTGCGCTGCCTCTGCTGCACGGGTGAGCGCTGCTGGGCTGCCAGCCCCCTCTGCTGTGCCCTGCCAGCCCCCCTCTGCTGTGCCCTGCCAGCCCCGCCTCTTGCCCAAATGAGCATTTGTTGTTTATTTAAGGTTAAAGGAAGCCGTTTGTCAAAATAAATGGAAGAAGTCGTTGAAAGATGTTGGTTAAGTTAGCTAAGCATTGTTAACTTTGTTAAGTTAGTTGTGCATTTGGTTTTTTCCTCCTAACACTGAAGGTGGTGCTTTTTTCAGCACCACCTTATAAAATTGCCCTTATGAAATTAAGAGCTATCTGTACTCTTATTTGTAACTCCCACTAAAGGGTACATTTCAGCATGGTTTTAATGCAGAAAAACTGAGCAGAGGCTCATTTATCTCTTTGTGCTTGCACACATTTGCCATCCTGTTGTTGTGGAGGCATGTAAATTATGCTGTTAACACCAACTTTAGATCCCATGTACAGAGGGGTCTAAAAGACTGGATTGGTATTAAAGTGCAGCACATGCTGCTGTCCATGTGATGGAAAAGTGGTGCTGATACTGCTGTTCATGTTTTTCCTGCTGGTTATGTCCAGAGATGCTACAGGCTCTGTCCATAAATACACAGTGAGTGTGCTGTCAACTCTCCTAATGTTACTGATGTTATATTGGAGTCTGATCCTGAGTTATTAAACCCCTGAGGATCTGAAAATAATTTTATTTTTTTTTATTTGCTTGTTCTTAAGGACTGGCTGACTTTGAGTAGAGACTACAAAATAAAGTATAAGAAAACCCCATCACCACCATTTAAAGCTGTGTTACCTGAATTAGAGGTAATTATAAGTGGTTGTTTCTTGCTCCAGTGACTTGTTTTGTTTTCCCACAGGAGGCATCGATGTGATCTTCACTCTGCAAGGAGATCCCAGCCTGTTTGTGGCTTCAGCTGCCAGCCAGCTCCTGGTGCACATGCTCACCTTCTCCCTAGAGTCTGAAACATCCAAAGCTCTCAGTACCAAGGACTGTGACTGGCCAGGCTGTGCCCAGATGATTGTAAAGCACATAAAGGAGTCCCTTCAGTCCAGCTCTGCCTCTCACATCGAGCAGTCACTGAAGCTGCTGAGCAGTTTGTTTGGCAGTTGTTTTGGCAGTTGTTATGCTGCATGGACTGAAGTCCTTTGGTTAGACATAGCAAAGCAAATAGAATCCTTTCTGCTGGAGGAGACTGTTCAAGCACAGCCCCTGCTGGCAAATCTTTTGCTTAATGTGGCACGGTAAAGATCTTGTGGCACCTTGGAGCCCGTGCTGAGATAGTCTGCCACCCTGGGATGGGTTACACTTACACTTCTCTCTTCTCAGATCCCCTGCATTTTGTGGCACTGAAGGCAGCTTTTGGGCATTAGTAACTTCTGCTCTGGAACACTTAACCCCAGTACAAGCAGGTCCTCTGGCAGTGGGACTTTTGAAGCTCTGCAAATGGTAGGACTTAATGCAATGAAATTTCTGCACTGTGCAGGTGTTTCTGCTCCATAATTCCCCTTTAGGTAGTGAGAAAGCAGCAGGAAATCATCAGATGAATGCAGTACATACAGATACTGATTTCCAGGCTAAATAACACTCTTGTTCTAAGATAGAAGGACACTTTTGTTAACAAGATATGCCTCTCTCCCAGCCTCCTTACACAGGATCCCACTCTCTGTTTGCATGGCTTGATAAAGCTGCTTCTAAATTCCAGAGCCATTTCTCCTCTGCTTTCAGTTAGCAAGGGGACCTTGGAAGAAGGCTCAGATTGTGATACTGCTTTTGTTGCTCTGTCATTGCTGGCTTGTTTAAAAGCCTGCATGAAAATAATTTATTCTGCTCAGCATTTGGGGGCAAGTATTTGGGAAGGAATTGAAGTTTACTTGTGTTGGTAACTGCTGTTTCCTCCTTGAAGCCCACAAGATGTCAGGATTCAGGCACTGACTGTTCTGCTTCAGCCAATGGACTGTATTTTGAGAGCAGCTTCCCAGCCTCTGGAATGTGCAGGTACAGTTGTGACAGAAAAGTCAGAGGCCAGTCTGCTTGCCAGTATTTGAAGTGCCTGGTGCAGACAACACTGGAGGAAAAAGTGGGAGAAGTCAAGGACAGTAGCAGTGTTTGTGGTAAATCCTACTGCCAGTTGCATTTGAAGGCATGTTCATACTACATTAGCTGAAAATTTTGGTTAGTTTTAAAAATCACAGCCTTTTCTTAAAAACCACAGCCTTAAAAATCACAGCCTTTTCTATTCATTGACAGCCTGAACTCTTCCCTTCTTTGGTCCTCTAGGTTTGCTGGATGAGTCTGTCAGTGATCCTGCCACTGTTGAAAGTCTTCTGTCCTGCAAGACCTCTTGTGCTGGTCTCCTGTGTCAGAGCCTCACTCACCTGGAGAAGCTGCTGTCTCTGGTAATGTTCAGAAAGGGGAAAAAAAGAGGCTGAGAATCAAACTGGTCCTTGAAAGAAAGTGTTCAGATGGTTGCAAACATTTTCAGTAGAGCATAACAGAATGTGGAGAGGAGCTGGCAGTGAGGGTTTCCATAGTTTAAGGAAATTTAGCACAGTAGGCTCTAAACAGGAAAAGAGAGGGACACTGAGACTCTTTAAGAGGGACTGCACTTAAGTTTTAAATTTGTCTTGATGAGCTTTGTTATCATACCTTACTTGTATTACAATTACTGATCCTGAGAAGAAGCACAAATTGAACTGCTTTCAAGCAGTCAGAAGAATCTCCTTCCATCTGTGCAGCAGTTCTTGGAAGAGAGGAAAATAATTTATTTGTAGTTACTGATATTGTGGTACCTTAAGAACTCACTAGAAGTTGCAATTTTTTGCTGCCTTCTGACCTAAAACTGCTTTCTACTTGAGACTGTTGCTGGAAACTCTTTTCTTTCTCACCCATTAGAAACATTTGAGAGTGGATTTACCCTGTGTGTCTTTGCTGCACTCTCTCATGACAATATTACAACTCTGCAATGGCTTCCTGAGCCCAACTTCTCCTCTGGGAAGCACAATCAGCCGGAATTTGATCAATTGCTTCAGAGTGCAGAAGTCAGCTCTTGATGTCCTTGCAGCACTCTCAGAGAAAAAAGGTGAGTTAATCTTTGCTTTCTTATCCAAAACAATTTTACAATTCTGTGTCTTTGTGTATTTCAGCAGGGATTTGGCTGCTCCATCTCTCAGTATTGGTCCCTTGGGTTTGTTTTCTCTGTTTCAGACTGTGACACTCTCATAGGAAGTCTGTTTGATGTCCTTCTGGCATATCTGCAGAGTCCAAACACCAGCCCTACTGTGAGTATAGAACTAGGAGAGATCCAGGTCTATTAGCTTGCCCCAGTGGGGTGTAATTCTCATAAAGGGTCTGACTGCAGTTGTTTCTTAGCA